GTAGTGAAAATAATTTGCCCTGATTTTACGCTACAGTACATGTGTGTTTTACTTTCTACAAGAAGCGGGAGCGCATCGAAATGAATGGGGTGATAGCATCCCACCAAACAGCAAGTTCCCTCTGATGGTTCATTTGGGAGAACACAAATTAAGGGCCACCTTGGTAAGCTAAATGGCTCGGTATCAATATAATTTGAAGCAAAACTTACTGACTTACTTCTACACCAATAGATGCTTGTTACTACTGACCCGCGTGAGGGTAACATTGAAATGTCGAGCAGTCTAGTATTTCGATGCCAGAGGAAATGAACATAATTTCAGCTGTACATAACTCAGGAGAGTAAATTCAAAACACTCGGTGAGTTGGTCCATCATCACAGTGTGCACGCCGATGGCCTTGTATGTACCTTATTGTACCCAGCGCCCAAGAAGGAACGACCCCCGATGGTGTTTTCGTTGTCACCAACGCAGCCGGATGAGTGGGAAGTGGATCGGTCGGAATTTATTATGAGAAACAAACTCGGCAAGTTTTCTTATTTTGTCTTTAAAAATTTAAACTCGGGCCCAAACACAGGAGCAAAGTATATAATTGGTATAAAATGAGTTTCACCTAATTTCTTTAAAACAAAATTCTCTTAAATTATTGGGAGAAAATGAACTTAAAAAAGTTTGAACTGTGAAACGAGTCGAATTTAACTTCTGGAAATAGTAATTTATGAATTCGGATTTATTTTAAGGCCTTAATTTTCAAGAAACTTTTATGCGTCTTCTGAATTTCATTCTGGCTTCACATGCTCCTGTTGTAGGAGGTGGCCAATATGGTGATGTTTATGAGGGATATTGGAAAAAACATGAGAAGGTTGTCGCCGTGAAGACGCTGAAAGTAAATTTTTTGATTTTTATGCGTCTAAAAACAGCATTGCTTAAACCAACATTTTCTTTTTGCTTTTCTAACAAGAAGAATTTGAGGAAGAGGCAATGGCACTGCATGATTTTCTGGCTGAAGCAGCAATCATGAAAGATTTGCACCATCCAAATCTGGTGCAGTTGATGGGCGTGTGCACTCGTGAGCCGCCTTTTTATATTATCACCGAATATATGAATAGGGGAAATTTGCTTGATTATCTCAGGTATGTCCAATAACTCAAAATTTGGTAGATTTTTACATTGGTTTTTCACTGAGAGCTTGAAAATTTCTAGAATGTCGACGAAATATTTGACTTGCTTTTATCATATTTTTCAGAAATCTGTTGTGGATATTTTCTTTTCGCCATTTTAGTACATTTATTAATCAAAATTTCCATGACTTAGTCAAAAAAAAGCTTCTTGATAAAGTTAGCGGAATGCAAAACAGCAAAAGAGCGCCATTTCGAGCAACAGATCCTAAAATTGTGACGCACCTCTTTTCTTTTCGGAAAAAGGGCACTCCGCTGTTTTATTTTCGCTATCGTTTT